TAAGTGCTACAAGAGTTTAGGGAGCTAGACTAACTTTGGTTTCTTTGAAAGAGGCTTCATTTCCCTGTCTGTGAGGTGCTTTGCCAGCAGCAGGAAGAAAGGAGGGCTGAAACTTCAGGGGCACATCAATGAATTAATCTTAACCCTGATCTCCTGACCACTTGTTATCATTGTTCTGTGCATGACTCCCTTTTAGTTTAATTGTTCTTTATTTTCAGTAAAATAATAAATACCTGTGAACCTATCAGCTTACCTGGTAGCTCAGATGGCAAAGAATCCTTCAATGTGGGAGACCTGGGTTTGATCCCTGGGTTGGGAAGATTCCCTGAAGAAGGGAACGGCAACCTCCTCCAGTATTCTTTTGGCCTGCAGAATTCCATGGACAGAGGATCCTGGTGGGCTACCGTCCATATGATCACAAAGAGTGAACCTATCCAAGAACAAGATCATTACCAATAACTCTGAGTTCCTCCTCTGTATTTTATCCTTCCTTCTCAGAGGGAATCATTCTCCAGTTGTCTTGTATAGATGTGTTATATCCAAATGCCTAACCAAATCATGCATTGTTTAGTTTTACTTGTTTTTGAAATTAACAGAAAGGGTATTACATAATATACTGTCTTCTGAGACTTGCTTTTTTGATTCAAGAACAGCTAAAAAGATTCCTATCAACATATTATTGCACATTGCTATATTTTATTTATTTTCACTACTGTACAACATTCCAGTGTCTGGATAGATTTTAATGTATTTATCTATTTTCACAGCATGGGCATTTGGGTTGTTTCAGCTTTTTGTTATTAAAAAGAGAGCTTCCATAAAATTCTTGTCCAAATTCATGAGCTAAATTTTGCCTGTGTTTATAACCAATATGAGAAAGATACTATATATATATATATATGTATATATATATAAAGATACTAAGTATATATATAAAGAACTATATATATATACTATATATATAAAAATACTACATATATAAAAGTGACATATACATATATATACTAACTCTGTACTCATTGAACATCTTCTCATTTCTTCTCCTACAACCCCTTACCCTGTTTCTAGGAAAGTACTATTTTAACTCTTTCACAAATCAAGGAGGGGAATTAATGATTCATGGGGTAAAGGAATACTCAGTTTTGCAAGAGACTTCCAAACTTTTTCTTCAAATCACTGTTCCAGCGTATACCCCGCAATGATCACAAGGGATATCACTGTTCTCTACACGTGTCTTCTATGCATGGTACTGTCATATTTTTTTTTTCTCTCTTTTGGATCACACCACATGGCTTGTGGGGATCTTAGTTGCCTGACCAGGGATTGAACCTGCAATGAACGTGCTGAGCCCTAACTACTGGACCGCCAGGGAATTCCCAACTGAAAGAGTGTTGAATGAATGCATGAATTAATAGTGGGGAGGAAATAGGTTGGTCATATCAGTTTTCAAAAACTCAGTTCATGTGGGGACTTAAATAGTCAATGACCTTTAGCTTTCAACAAATTAAATGTGCCTTAAAATGCTGTTAAGAAGACCAATAGAAGGGAGTAAAAAATAATGTAGCAAAAATCTTCTAAAAACTAAAATCATCTATGTATTATAGACATAGGATTAAAAAAATAGTTAAAAAAACAAAAGACAGAAAGTCCCTTGCACTGTTTTAAAAGGGATAAAATGATCTTTGCTCTGTGTAGAACCCTTCAAATAGATTAAAGAATTTAAACTCAGGAAGTTCATACATAAACTAGAAGGAAACATAAGCAAATAAATATCTAAGGTGGGTGCTGAATGGCCAGGAACTATACAGAAGTAAAGGTAAACACCTTGAAGGAGGGAATTCCCTGGCAGTCCAGAGGTTAGGACTTGACACTTTCATTGTCAATGGCCCGAGTTTAGTCCCTAGTCCACTGGGGAACTGAGATCCTATAAACTGTGTGACGCAGCCAACAACAACAACGACAACACACGTACACCACACACAAACACAAAACACATGAAGGGGAGAAGATTGATGTATTTTACTAAAAATGCAAAAAATTGTGTAGCCTTAATGCTAAATAAATAAATACAAAAGTAATAGCAAGGCAATCAACCATCTGGGGAAGATATATTGGTAGATTGGTGGTGTGGGGACATACATATCTACCTTTGATGAATTTGGTCTGAGGGCATGCAGACCAGACTAAGAATCTGATGATCTGGGACATTTGGGAGATTAGATTATAACTGTAAATAAACTGCAGTCTCCATGAGGGCAGTCTTCACTCTAACTTCTGGAGCCTGGGTAGTAGTCCATGTTCCCTGCAGTGGACAGGCAGAGCTTTGTGGGTCTCCCAATTCAGAAATTTTAGCCAAAGGAAATAAGGTAAGGAATCTACTAAATGCATGTGTTTGGTGGAGGGATGAGGGTACAGTGGGCTTGAGAAGGACAAAGTTATAAAATCCTAGCTCTGAGAGTCCCAAAACTGCTACGGAGGAGGCACTTGGAAGGACTTCCCTGCTGGCTCAGATGGTAAAGAATCTGCCTGCAGTGCAGGAGACCTGGGTTTGATCATGGGGTGGGGAAGAGCCCCTGGAGAAGGAAATGGCTACCCACTCCTGTATTCTTGCCTGGAGAATCCCACGGACAGAGGAGCCTGGCAGGCTACAGTCCACAGGGTCACAAAGAGTTGGACACAACTGAGCCACTTACAGGCTCTTGGAAAGAGAGGCTTCGTTCACCATAGGTATAGCACAAAAGGTTTCTCAAGGGCTTACAAAAATAGTGGAGAGGGCTTCCCTGGTGGTTCAGTGGTAAAGAATCCAGCTGCATGTAGGAGACATAGGTTCCATCCCTGATCTGGGAAGATCCCACATGCTGTGGAGCAACTAAGGCCGTGGACCACAGTTGTTGAGCTTGTACTCTAGAGGCCAGGAGCCACAACTGCTGACACTAGAGAAAGTCCTCCAGCGACGAAGACCCAATGGAGCCAAATAAATAAATTATTTGAAAAAATTGGGGGGATGAGTACAGCAGTGGCAGGGAATGTAATTCTGTGAAACCAAAAGAAATTTACAAAATTTATATTAATAAAGGAATTTAATGAAATTTTGTCATTAATCAAGCTACTTAGTTAAAGCTCATCAAAAGTGTATTTAATGTGAATACATTTGACCTGTTTGGTGTGATCCAGAGTGAGGTCTCCAGAAATAAGTGCCCAGAGTAAACAGTTTTATAAAGGGCTCTTGACTGTTGGACCCAGGCATACCACTGATTGTGTCTTCTTTCAAAGAATTCTTAGTGCTCTTCTGACAGGATTCTAATCTACTCTACCCTGAGGGTGTGGGATCCTTTGAACCTCATCAAGTTGACTGATTAAATTAGGGCTGGTGGGATTAGCTAAAGACTAGTGAAAGGATATAGATTCACCACTTTGGAGGCAGAGATACTAGGATAATTTGTCATTTTCTTTCATTAGATGTGATTATTCCCTCATTCATTCACACAGAGTTTTTTGGTGTTTTTTTCTTTTTTTCCCAAGCAGCCCTTAAGTGGACCCAAGAGCAAGAAAATTTTAGCGGGTTACCAAAGAAATAAAAGTAAGAGAGATGTGTTACATGTGAAAAGCACTGATGATTATGTGGTTGAATTAAATTGTATTTGTATCTCTCCGACTGTCCTTAATTTGTCAAAATCTTAAAACCGTGCTATTACTATAGATCACATAAAAAATGTATTAGTTATTCAATGCATTGAGTGCCTACTATGTCCAAGCAGTGTTGTGAGGTGGAGATATAGCATAAGCAAAAGAGACAAAAGTCCCCTTTTCTCAGTCCAGACGATTTAAAAGTAGACATAAACTCTGTGAGTAATGATGAGTGCTTGGAAGAAAATTTAAATGTATAGGAATGGGGAGTGATGACGGTCCTATTTAGATAAGGTGGCCTCCGGAGACTTTTCCAGTAAGATGACATTATGAATTGTATGGGTGTAATGGTAACTTCCCCAAGCACCTAGGGGAAAAGATGCCAATTTACTGAGGGGGTGCTCAGTACAGTTAGTGCAATTAGCGAAGGAATTTCGGACCCCGCTACCAAAAAGACGTCCCTCTGATTCTGCGAATTCAGAAAGTGCAAGCCCCTAGCTTCAGTTTTCTCATCTATAAATTGGAAAGAGTGGTAGTGCTGACCACCTCGGGTTTTTTGTTGACGTTGTTATTGAGCCACATTGAACCATGTGCCTGGCACAGTCCTCAACAATGAAAACGTATTCATTTAATCCATGACAATCTTGTAAGCCAAGTACGATTTTTTTTTTTTAAGAGCATTTTATAACCGAGGAACCGGGAGGCATAGAGGAGTAAAATCTAGGGTCCCACTGGTAGGGTTTCAAAGCAGGCAACTGCTCAGAACCTGAAGTGTTGTAAAGCGCTTAGCCCCGTGCTTAGCACGTAGTAAGAGCTCCTTAAATCTTCACAGTAGGGGCTGTTATCTGTTCTAGCCCGGGGCTGCTCCAGAATTTCTCCTTAGGAAGAGCTTTAGATAGCCACTCTGTTGTAAGGGGAAGCTCGGGAAGGGGGGGGGGGGTCTTGCATGGCAACCATAGTTAACTGCATAGCAACCATAAGGTTTACTTAAATTGGGGCACTCGGGAGAATCGATGGGGGTTGTGTGGAAGGAGGAGTCAGCTAGGTGCCCCTCCCACACGCCACTTTTCAGTGGGAACTAGCCAGGCACCAGCGGAAACTTGGGCCCCCCTCCGGAACCGCGCTGTGAGCCGGTCCTCTTTGCGGCCTGCCACCCCGCCCTTTGAGGCAGATGGTTTCTTCCGTTCACCCGGCTGGTTCAGGTTCCGCGCTCGGGAGTCACAAAGCGCGGGGTCACGTAGGCGGGCCGGTGCGCTTTGTGACGCCCAGGCCTCGCCCCTTGGCCCGCCTATCGGCGCACGCCAGCCCCGCCCCGCGCGCGCCGCCCGTGCAATCCCTGCTTAAGAGACCCCGGAGTGGGGCGCTCGCCCGAAGCCAGGCCGCGTCCGCCATAGTGCCTGGCTCCGAGGTGTCGCCAGCGCCTGGTGAGGGCCCGAAAGCGGCAGAGGGGCGAAACAAAACAGGGAGCCGGCGGAGCCCTCGCCGTTGCCCGGCGGTTTCCGGGCCTAATCTCGCGGTACTGGGCCGAGAGGCGACGGAAGCGAAAGGCGAGAGAAGCTCGGAGCACTCGGCGAGAGGAAGCGTCAGGGAGCCTTCGGCGGCGTCGCGAGGGTCCGCCGAAGCCCCCCGGCCGCTGGCTGGGGCCCGGGGTGGTGAGGAAGTGCTGCGAGGCCTAGCCGAGGCCTAGTACCGGCTTTGTGTCTGAGCGGCGTTGGCGTTGGCGGCGGCGGCGGCGGGGGGGAGGCGGAGCCGGGGGCGGCCTGCGGGAAGGCCTCTCCTCCGCCGACCGCGCGTTTCGGCCTAGGCCGCGGGGCCGCCCGTGGCCCTGCGGGGAGCAGGCGAAAGGGGTCTGTTGCGTGGCGGGGGCCTGGGCCTGGGGCAGCCGACGCCGGTCGTCCGGAAGCCAGGAGGAGGCGAGAGGCCGCTCGTGGACTCCGGGCCTGGGCCCTCTCCCCTCTGCCTTCTCCCGGGCCTGGGTCACCCCCATCCACGGAGAAAGAGACGATCCGGGAGGTGCGGCCGCGCTATGGACCCCTGACCCCGCGGGGTCACTCGGACTCTTAACGTGTGGACTGACCGCTACTGACTGCACCGCTGCCCCCGTCTCCTGCCGGCCCTTAGCATGAGCGAGGGGGACCCAGCCGGCTGACAATTGTGCCGGTTGGCGGATTCTCGCTTGCCCCCTTGCCCCGTCCTCGTCCGCCTCCTCCCACATGAAGCGATTCTGAATATCCGGGGGGGGCGGGTTCTGAATTATTGTTTTTACGAACCCCTGCTTGTGGTTGGGGGGGTATTTAATCTGAGGCCTTTTAGGGTCCTTCGGTGTCTCTGAGTGTTTTGTGTGTGTACATATTTTGCTCTTAAGTTTATAAATATACATATATTGAGCGTGTGCACGTCTCCTCGCTGAACCTTAGGAATCCTTTGGCACCATGTCCTGTGTGCATTATAAATTTTCTTCTAAACTCAACTATGATACCGTCACCTTTGATGGGCTCCACATCTCCCTCTGCGACTTAAAGAAGCAGATTATGGGGAGAGAGAAGCTGAAAGCTGCCGACTGCGACCTGCAGATCACCAACGCACAGACGAAAGAAGGTAAGAGCCGCCCGGGCTCCGGATCCTGGCTGGTGGAAGAGAGATGCTGGTGGCGAGGTGCCTGGCTGGAGACTAACCGCCATTATGTCTCTTGTGGGACTGTTCGTTCTAACACTTTGGGGACGAATTTCATTGATAGCCAGAGGTTGCAGCAGTCAGCCCCCGAGTTTAATTGACTTTGATTTGTTTTCTGTATACTTGGATCATCTGCAACCGGCCGATCCCCAACTGTCTGATTCCTCCCAGATGATTTTTTTAAACGAGGGTTTTGGTGTTAGGGGTGGGGATGTCATCCAGATTGTCTGAGTGCTTATCCTGGGGCATTTCCTAATCTGTTTTCCATCAGAAGGAGGAGAGGAGAGCAGAAGGAAGGCTTCTTTGTAAAGCAGCGCTGGAGAACCATCTCTAACTTTCTAACTTAATCACCGTAGGGGTTTTGATGGCAAATTCTGTGTCCTCCTCGTCTCCCTTCCCCGATTTATTTAGTTAGTTTTAAGTTTGGAGTTGCCTGTCTTTGGAGAAAGATCCTCCCTTTGCTGTTTTTAATCTAGCCAGTTTTTAAAGTTGGAATTGCTTTTGGAACTTGGTATGTTCTGGTGTGACCACTTTTGTTTGGTGTGTAAGTTCCAGAATTAAGTAGTTGAACTCTTAGTTCATCACATTACTCGTAAATTTTATCAGTTTCAGAAAGATCAAAAGTACAGATTTTTAAAAATAGTGGTTGCTTGATTTTATATGATTATATTGCTACTAGGATACTGAAAAATAGTCTGCTGTGCTATCATATGAATATACATAAGCCACTAATTGGAATCTTTAAATTTTTCTCTTTTATAAAAGCTTTTTATATGATACTGAGAATTTAACATCGATATGAGAATGAGACAGAATGGCCTCTTAGAGTTTCTATTTTCAGACTCTGGCTTTGAACTTAACTTCGGTTTCTTTTTCTCAGGACTGCAACGCTGATGTGTCGTTTTGTGTCTTGAGTTTTTTTTTTTTTCTTTTATAAGATGAGAAGTAAAGTGAAGTTCTAGTTAGGGTAGTTTATTGATCACTAAATTTGGCTTAGTGGGACATAGGTTCTTTTAGTTGAAATTGGGGGAGGTTCCCCCACTTGTCAAGTACAAGAGCTGTTTTTTTACATTTACATCCAGACATAAATATAATTGTATTAAGGAACAGCACTCAAAAATAGTAAGAAAGAACTTGTATACTTACTTGATAACATGTGCAGGAATATTCTCCACTTCCCCCCTTTCCGGTTTTTCAGTGTATCAGACCTAAGAGATGCTTCATGCGAGGCTTTGGTAATTGTGATTGTGAGGAAAAAATTGGTGGTGATCATGAATAGTTGAGAAACAGCTTTTAAAAATATTATTCAAGAAAATACCTTTAAGGAAATATTTCTTAAGGCCGCAAAAGCCTTCCTTAAGCATTACAGCCACACTTAACAGATGGATTTATAATAATTTTAGGACACCTGGATATGTTAATGATAATGAATGAGAGAAAATAAACTATTAAGTGAAATTAGAGAATATTAAGGCAGTTTTAATCATATTTAGATTTCATATTTTGCTGAGTATAACACAGTTTACTCTTTTAAGACTAAACTCCATCAATCTTTTTCAGCTGGAATAAATTATTGTTGATGGAATTCTTGTCCATGAATTTAAGAGTTTGTGATGTGTTATATTTTTTCTAAGCTAGGAAATTATTTAATACCTTATTTTTACAAATGCTGAAAGCAGGAAAATGCTTTGCCCAGCCCCGTGTTTTTTGTATATTTGTGAACTGTCATTATTGGAGAAAGCTTTGCTGTAGTAAGCTTTGCTATTGGATTGGTTAAGAGAAGAGAAAGTTTGCATCTTATGCTGTCCTCAAATTAGGAGAGAAAAAGATATTTAGGCACTTAATGAATTTTATGGCAAGTAGTATCAGTGTCACAAGGCAGCTGAGGAAGAATGCCACTTGCTTTTAGCACCATCCAGTGAATTAAAGAGGACAGAATGAATGTTTATAGCTTCATAGTTATGAGATCGCCTAGGAAAGAATGCCGAACTGGATCACTTTAGTTTGTTTGAATTCATGTTTCTATAAAAGATTCCGGACAGTTTTGGAAGTCTGTCCATGTTTAGGACTCTTAAATCTTAGACTGAAATGCTTGAATCAGAATTTCATGTTTCAGGTTAAGAAGTCTGCTTCTTTATTTCTAGACTACATTTCAAAATGAATCTCAAATTTATTTTTGTGTTTTTCCTACATAAACTTGTTTTTCTAATTTTTCTGCTTATTTGCAATTACCCCTCCCTCCCCCAGCGAAAAAAAGCACATACACACAACAAAACAGCCTTTATTCTGAACTTAGGGTAAAAAAGATTTGGAAGCTGAGGAAAAAGAATTTTCAAAAGACTATTTCTCCATTTCTTAAATTCGTCTTGTTTCATTTCATCCGTATTCTTCATGTTTTTAGATCAAAAATGGCAGTGTCAAATAGGATCTTTTGAAGCTAACAAGTTACTTACTGAGGTATTTTAAAGGTAGGAAATTATCAGCGTGATTCAGATACTTTAAAAGGTCAATTAGCATGTGGCATCAGAGCCAGACTAAGCTTGACAACACTGTGTTGATGGGGTGAATAAAGTTGTCTTGGAAAGCTCCTGAGCACATTTGCTATTCGTTCCTATGGTGAACTCTTTTGATAGTTACATAGTCAGCAACTTAATTATCTGGTGTTTGACATCAAGTTTTAGAGTTTTTTTTTTTAAAGATCCCTCATCTCCCATGCTTCTGGGTTTTTCTTTCTTAGAGCTTGCTTGGAACTTGGAGCTATCCTGATAATGATGGTAGTCTTACATTAGAAAATTGCATCACTCTAATTGGATACTTATGAAGATAAAGCTTACTACTTGAAATATGTAAACTGAAAAGAACCCTTTCCTGAACAATTTATGTGTGTGTGCATTCAGTCATGTCCAACTCTTTATGGCCCTATAAACTGTAGCCCTCCACCCCTTTGTGGAATTTTCTAGGCAAGAATACCAGGTAGGTTGCCATTTCGTCCTCCAGGGGGTTGCCCCAATCCAGGTATCGAACTTGTGTCTCTTAGCACTGTGCCACCTGGGAAACCCAATTTATGATAATGCTATGAGAAAGGATAGAGCCAGTACATCTATAAAAGCTTAAAATGCTTATATATTTGATAAACTTAAAATAATTAGAGGTTGATAAGCTTAATAATTAGAGCACTTGGTGCTGAGTAACTTAAGTGAGTCAGGTAAACTCAGTAATTTAAAAAGAATGAACCCTAATACTTGATTGTGTGATTAAGGGAGATGGGTACATTTTTACATATATCCCCTTGTAGTGGATTATTAAACCATCGTTGAATTCATCGATTCATTTTTTTGTTTGAATTTCATTCTTAGAGAACTATTGCAAGTAATAGTCCCAAGAGTAGGATAATCTTCCTGTCTGTCTTCTCAGAAAGTAGCATCCCTTTTCGTCCGGTTGCTTAAGCCAGGAACCTAGGAATTCATGCCTGATTTCTCTCTCCTCCATCTCTGATTCCACCCACATCTGTCGTAAAGCCTTACAACATTCTCTTGATTTCTGTGTCACTTCCAGAGCAGATCGTTATTCTCTCTTACCTGAACTATGCAGCAATCTCCTTAGTCACCGTTTCTGTTCTTGTTCCTATACAGATTCATTCTTCACTTAGATAACCCCCCCCCCCGAGTTTTTGTTTTTAATATGAATCAAATTGTCGTCATTTTTATTTAAAATCTTTCAATGACTTCCTGTTGTGCTTAGAAACAAAATATATGTAACCTGTGCCTGTGTTTCTAGTCATTGTGTGGTTTTCCTCAGCTCTTCTGGCCTTGTGTCATTTTTCCCCATGCTTCTCTCCTCTGAAACATTCTTTGCCAGTGTTTTTGCACATCTTGTCTTCTCAGTCTTCTGTTAAGTCTCAGATGCCAGTTCCTCAGAGGGCCTTTCCTTGAATCAACATTCTCTCCAAAGTTGCATCCCACTTTGAATTATTACAAAGCCCTTTTTTCTTTGAATACAAAGGATTCAAAATGTGTCACACTTTTTAGTCTGTCTTCCCCAGTAGTAATGTTTAGAGCCCAGGAAAAGTGAAAATGAAGTCGCTGAGTCGCGTCCGACACTTTGTGACCCCATGGACTGTATAGCCTACCAGGCTCCTTCGTCCATGGGATTTTCTAGGCAAGAACACTGGAGTGGGTTGCCATTTCCTTCTCCAGGAGATCTTCCCAACCCAGGAATTGAACCCAGGTCTCCCGCACTGTGGGCTTTACTGTCTGAGCCGCCAGGAGAGAGAAAATATTTTCATTCTAAATAACAACTTTTTCCTCATATAGTTCAGATGTTCGGCATTACTGGCTAAACAGCGAACAACTTAGTCTTCCTGAGACTTGGGGTTCCACCTCCATCTCTGATAGAGGTGCCAGAGCCAAGAACCTGTTGACATACTTGGTGTTAACTCCTTATGGCTTTGGATATTTGTTCTGACAGTATCTGTAATCTCAATGCAAGGAACATGTGGTTATTAATGCTCCTTTATGTTTAAGATGATTTCCCATAAAATTTATATCTGGTTGAAGTTTTCTAATTCTTGAGGATTATGACTTAAAAATCTCGAAATAGACATTCAACTCTTTATCCTTTTATTTACAGAATATACTGACGATAATGCTCTAATTCCTAAAAATTCATCTGTAATTGTTAGAAGAATTCCTATTGGAGGTGTTAAATCTACAAGCAAGACATATGTTATGTAAGTATTAATTAAATCCCATGTTTGCAAGTTCTCAAAATACTTTTTACTTTGTGAGAAGGAACAGATATGCTTTAGAACTGAACTCACTACTTTATGCTAGTGAGTATGTCGTCTTCATCCTTAAAATTATGAGAATGTTTGTTTTCCTGATTTCTTTCCCCAGTTAAACTGTAGTCAGAAGTAAGAGCTAGTAGACTTTTTGCTCTATGTAGGTAATATTAACAAAAAGAAAATGATCCTCAAATAAGTAAATCTTTCCCCTTCATTGGTTTTTATTACCTGGACACTTTCCCCCTCTACCATTTTTTCACTACAAGAATGTAAGTATCTTGAGATCTGTCCTAAATATTTTGTCAGCATCAGGAGTATTCAGTAGTGGTAGTATTTGCTTCTCATTAATAAGGGACTTTGTTGGGAAGTGATAACGTTCATAGGATTCATGAGCACAGACACTGGAATCAGGCTTAGATTTGACTCCCATTTACTGCTTCACACCAGTTGTATGAAGTTGTGTTTGGGTAAGTTACCTAAAGTCTGTACCTCAGATTCCTCAAAATAAAATATATGTAACTCCAGGGAATTGGAGGAATTCAGTAGTGCCTGGCACATGTCAAATGCCCTTTATTGGAGTAAGAATTATAGTGATAATACTTTAGGAATGGTCTAGAGCTTAAGGAGTTCACTAAAAGGGCAAGATTATAACTTTATATCTAACTTTCTCTGCTTTCTTGCAATTTTAATGCTGATAACAGTTATTGGGTTGGCCAAAAAGTTTCTTCAGGTTTTTCCATACAATGGAATGGAAAAACTGAAACGAACTTTTTGGCCAACTCAGTATAATCTGTGAAAAGGATAGCAACTTGGGCTATTTAAAGAATACTCAGAGGTAAGATAGACTTACTTGAAATTCTGGCAAATTCTGCTTTTGGTCAATGAAATTCTGGCAAATTCTGCTTTTGGTCAATGAAACATTCTGGAATTTGCCAGTCCTAGGAAATGGAATGTGTTCTTGGAATTGAGGAAAATAAAGTCATTTCCTGGAGCTTTGCTTCATGTGGGCACGTTTTCTTTCTAAGACTGTTCTCATTTAGTTTAGTGTAAAGTTCTATTCCATATTTTAACATTTGGAGGTTCTTAAATCTTCTGTATAGTAGCTTTAAAAGCTGAAGACTTTTTTTTTTCCTTCTGTAAATACCAAATGAGCTATGTACCTTTAACTTTATATAATTTTGAAACATTATAAAGGAAGAATTAATTCCTAGAATTTAGTGTGAAGTTATCCCTTAATTTACTAAGTACTTTGTAAAAATAGCAAACATTCAGTTTCAGGAGATTGTTTTGATATTCAGAAATTTTAGGGAGAGAATTGTTTAAAGTACATGGGAAAATAGTTGCTTCTTACAGAATTGCATGCGTAATTCACTGTGTATTTGATTTCCTTTATAATATACTTGCCTCTTGAAGTGTTTTTGAATTTGCTGAGCAAATACTAGTAAATGAAAATTTCATTTTTATCTCAGGGCGTACCAGTCATGTACAAACTAGAAATTCCTTTCATATGCTATCTAACGTTTTTCTGTCAGGATAGCATAAACTTAAAACTAAAACTAAGCCTTTGAAGCCTGTATTTTAGAAATTTGACCCTCATACCCTTTCCTGTGTGGACTTTTAAAGGAATTTCTTCTTGAGCTTACTTGTGTATATATTTTTAAAGATCAGTTCCATTCTCTATAACCAACTTATTAAACTTATTCTTTTAACGAAAATATGCTGTCAAACGGTTGATTTTTCTGGAAAATAGACTTCCTATTTTATCTTGGTCACTGTGTTGAGACTTTTAAAAAGATGAAACTGCCAACCTGTCTTTTGGATTTGAAATACAGTTTTTGGAGCACAACAATTTCTCAGGGCTCCAAATTATAGGATATTTACAGTAGTAGTCTTACTGTAAGGTAATTCAGGGTATGAAAATTCTCATCTGTACCTATTAAAGTGAGGATTAATAGACTTGTTCAGTCTATTAAGAAATAGCCTCAAAGTTTCTTAAATAACAAAATCCTCATACTACCTTTCAGAAAACATTTGTTGTAGGTAGAAAGATACACACCTTTAATTACCAAGTATGGATTTTTTTTTAAAATCAAAAATGCATCTTAAAACTGTTCAAAGGTAGTAAAAATTAAATAAAGTAGTATATTTATTACTTCTGAAATTGGTTGTTTTTAAATGTTTGTGCCAAGGAAAAGTTGTGTTCCTAAAAAATGTGTGGTTGGAGAGATGTTTTTAGCACAAAAATTCATTAATAGCTTCTTAGAGAGTTAATGCTGTTTTTCTTTTTGTCTTTTTAGAAGTCGAACTGAACCAGTGATGGGAACTTCAAAAGCAGTATGTAAAAACACAATCTCACACTTTTTCTACACGTTGCTTTTTCCTTTATAATGTAGCAGTGAAGTAAATCATTTTAGAACGTAATATCCAATTGATCATAGAACATATTGTAAATAAAATGTATTTTGATGACAGCTCAGTTGAATATGGATATATGTGGCATAATTTGCACACTATTTTGTAGAAATGGGTAATTTGTGCCCAAAAAACACTGTTTCGTATTAAATATGATAGCATTCTCCCTGTATGACACTGTGTTGTACAGTTAATGTATGATCCTTTTTAGATCATGTAGGTTTTACACTAATGAACATGGTAACATGTTCTGCATCTGTCTGTCTATAGTTAGTATTTTGTATGTATGTACAGGCTGTTGTGTGCTTTTTGTTTCCTGCAATAAAAAAAAATGTTTGGAATGTATATTTTGCCATTTTCACGTGTATCACTTAGTTTTTTTTGGTTTTTGGGTTTTTTTTTCTTTTTTTCTGCCTGATTGATGGCTTTGAAAATGCATTAGCAACATCCAAAGCTTATATTTAAAGTTTGATGCTTTCTCCAAGTTCAGACACGTCATAGAGCTTTCCAGAGACCATTGACGCAGCTTTTATTATTTAGTTTTGCTTTATTTGGCAGTTTTGAGCTCCTATTCTTTGTTTACATTTGTACTGTAAAGTGAAACCTGGAATTGGGCCCCCTACAAGTATATCAATGTCTCGTCGATGATTTTATACAATTGAGTACTCAAGTTTTAATAGAGGTCTTTTACTTCTAGTCTGCTCAGTTGTCCAAATTAAAATATTTCCCTCATCTCATAAGATATTAAAATGCTGCAATAATTGTAAGCTAACTTAAAGCTGTAGCTTATCAAAGGTAACTCCCCTTAACCAGGTTAACATTTTAATAACCTTAAGTATGACAACATTTTGACTTTGAGCTTTTAAGTAAAAGGTAGCAGCATTCCTAAGTTGTAGGGTGAAACACCTGGTTCAGAACAGAGACCTGTAGTAATTGAGTTCTGTAAAACTTGATGGTTCTCTAAACATTTGAGTGCTCAGGCTTGATTTGTACACAATACAAGATGTCTGAAATCCTCACTTAGAGTTTAAGGGTATTGCTTGCTCTTTCAACTTTATCCTTTTAAAATACTAGTGATCTTTTAATTGTGTATCAGGTATTTTCACTAACCTTGGATCATTGAATCTTAAATACAATAACATAGAATATCTGAACTTTGGACTTGTTTTCTAAAGTATATAGCCTTTAGTTCTCATGGAACTAAATATAGTGATTCAAAAGTCAAAACTTAGTGTTTGGGGAGTTTTTTTCCCTCTTTGGGGTATATGGTTTTTTGGGGGTTTGGGGTGTTTTTTTTTTTTTTTTAAAGCATAATGCTGTAAAAACTGTCCACAAGTTGTTTTGCTGGTGATTGGTTTAAAACTGATTTTTATGTATCCAAATGCTAGCACAAATTAGATTGACTATACTGGTGACTGTAGTAGTTAATGTAACACATTTTGTATAAAGTACATTTTATACAGTATTTAAACTAATTCAGATGAAGTTTTATTTCTTGAAAATAATTATTTCCTTTTTGTTTATTAGCATGTGTATAAACACAGATCACATGTTCATAAATAAAGTTAACATTCTTTTAGCCTTGTGTGTTCCCTGGCATGTCTGTATTACACTTATAAGAAGCAGTTTATTTTATGCTTATTTAGGTTTCTCTTTTCTTTCTTCTTTTTTAAAAAAAATAATAGTGGCTTTAATTTTTAGGTAGAATTATTTGAAGTGGAGAAATTAGATAACATAATATCCCCATTATTTGCTTGGGGTACATTTGCTGACATTTAAAATATGAGAAAATATATTCATAAAGCATAATTAGTGCCCGTCTTAGGAGACTTAGGTATGTTATGCACACTCACAATTAAGACAAAATCACTAAAGCCAGGTTTTTAAATTCTGATTAGTAAAAGTAAATGTATGCACATTTTTGGTAACTTAAGCCAACTCTAATCAAGGATGGCTGTTTCTATATTCCACAGCTTTGCTGTTTGTAGTTACCCTTCTGTGTTGCTATTCCAAAGCTGTGGGTCCTTCCTGCTAACATCAGAATTACATGTTGTAAGATCCTTTAATTTCAGGCAAGTATAGTTGACATAAAAGATTTCAGATTCTTGCTCCCAGAAGCAAGGCCACAAATTAGATGTGAGAGAGGTAGTTTAATTTTAATCATATCCACAGTGTGCATGTTAATCAGTGTTTCTAGAGACTACTTTTTTAAAGTAGGGTTTTTTAATTGATGTTTAAATACATACAAATTCCTACTCATTTTTAAGTCATTTCTTGTCAGCATTTTACACTTATTTCTTAATATCTTGCTATATGTAGAAAACAATTGGATGCCTTTCTAAATTTGTGGTAAATTTTACCACCTTGTATTTATATAGGGTATTAAAGTGCTATAGGGGCTTCCCTGATAGCTCAATTGGTAAAGAATCCACAGATTATTTGGTGGGAAAAAAAGTGATTTAGATGCTGTTGAATATCTAAAACCACTCATAACTAAATAAATATATGCTCATAATAACAAGTTGGCCCAAAGGAAGAATAGGAAAGCCTGGCATAATAACAAAAAGACAGCTATGTTTTAGGAGTGAGAACAACAAAAAAAAATGTTAGTTTTTTTGGTTTCAGCAGTAAAAAAAAGTGTAATACAACTGCTGCTTTCTAAGGAAGTGATCAGCATGCACATTCTATATAGTAATAGGCTATTTTAAAAGGCTATTTGTTTCTTTGATTAGAAACACAGTATAGATGATGGTTGACAGCAGTTTGTTCAGTCCTTATTTCTTAAAATTCAGGTGATTCTTGATTGATATAAAATGTTACACTCTTCAAAATAGATTGAATAGGTCAGAATTTTTCTGGATAAAAATAGGCTGTGTTCTTTCAATTTTTCTTTTCTAAATTTACCTCTTGAGATACTCATTCTTTAAGGAAAGAACACTTCAACCCACTGATAGATTATATGGCTAGGAATGTATATGGGGCTAGTGCATTATGGACTCTACAGTCCCTCAGTGTGGAGCTGAGAACCTTTTGTTTAGATAAACATCCCAGCAATAATATCCATCAAACTAGCTTTTAAAACTCTTAAGATGTGTATAAGATGTATTTTAAATTTAGCCGGCATTAGTTTTATTTCCGTTTATTGCATTCCTGCTGTGGTGGCATTAAGCTAAGAACTACATATTGAAATTGGTTACATTTCTATTGGGGGCTCCAAGTCATGCTGCTTTTTTTTTTTTTTTTTCCAAATACTCTCAGTTCTCTTGAATCCTTGAAAAATGCATGATGAAGACTCACTTTTTTTTTCCTTTGATCCAGACATCTTGTTACATTCTCTCCATTTTAAAGAAGAGTTCTGACCAGTAATGCATGAGAAATTTGTAACATTAAATAAGCAACCCACTTACTACATAGGAAGCTGATAATGTTTTTATTTTGGTACACTTGTAGGGAAATCATGTCTTTAGAATTACATGCTGAAGATTGTGTGTATACATATACACACTCATGCATAAACACTTTTTAAAAACTGATATTAATGTATTTCAGGGGAACAAATAATGAAGCACTTTTAAATACATTTGAACATACATTTTTTAAAGCCCTCATATCCATGTTTAATACTTGCTCCCTTTGATTAAAGTAACTATTTTCCCTGCACATTGAAGTCCATCCTATAACTGCTCTGTTTGCCCTGCCCCGGGATGCCTTTTATTTCTCTCTATTCGGCTTAAAATTTTTGCCCCCTTAAAGCTGTGGTTTCTTTGGCAAGATTAGCTGTTGATACTTTGTATGCAAGAATCAACTTATTCATACTGAGCAGCACATACTCAAAAGAGGGGAAAAGTAGCAATTATTTGGGAGCTGTTTTATTAAAGCAGTTATCTGAGCCTTTAAAGAGCTACTTGTTTTTACACGGTTGGCATTATAGGAAAGTTAGAAGGATTTCTTATTCTCTCTTCTAGTGTATGTTGTCTTGAGCATCATTAGTTTTAGAGACCACTGATAGGCCTGGGACTCTACTTAGTATTTAATCACCACACTGAGCAGCTTTCCTATCCTTTTCTTTACTGTTTTCTCATTGTAATAGAGTCCCCTTCAACCATTACCCTTTATATACTGTATGTGAGATGTGTGAAGAAGGATAAGTGGGGTGAGCTACATTTCAGCTTAAAACAAGATAACATTCTTTCGAAAACTTCTAATAAAAATATCCAATATTTGAACATTAAGTGGCAGTAGGGAGTAAATGATCACTTTCAGATGTTTTCAGTGTGGAACTTGAATGTGTGTTTAATTTTTTGTGAACAGATTGATGACTCTTCTGCGTCTATTTCTCTGGCCCAGCTTACAAAGGTATATATATATTCTTGAAAATATAAATCTTTTTCTAACATCGTAATTCTTTTTAATGTGGAGCAGTTGTTTTAAGAGGGGTTGGGGGAGGAAATACTTTGCAGAAACATTTGTACATATTATTACTATCCTGTAAAGAGTAGCTGCTGTTTTGAGAAGATAGGGGGAGTATTTTGCTTCACCATAATGTTGGAGTATTCATCTTCAAGACAGAAGAAACAAATGAAGCTACACTTACTTGCTTTTTTTCCTCATACATTTTGTTTAATTATACAGTGGAAACTAACAGATTTCTGGAGGAATTCCCTGATTTTGGCTGTAAATTACGTGGACTTTATGCAGCCAAAATAGAAGCTTTCCTTTACATGGACAATTGCGTGGTTATTTCTTGAATATTTGAATTGATCCCTTGAAAGTTAACGTTTTAAATGTGATACGGTTGTTTTTCTATGCTATAGACTTGTAGTCTGTCTGCATTAGAAAAAGTTTTAAACAACCTAATTTGTTTGAACACAGACTACATGAATTGTGTAAATGTATAAAGTTGTTTGCAGGAATATACCAATGTGTATGTTTGGCAGAGGGGCAAATTGTTACCTCCTGAAATCATTGTATATGCCATGTTTTGCGATAAGATTGCTTGCAGTTTTCTGCTCAACAGTGTGTACCTTTTGTTTGGGAAAGCACTAGTGATGGATTAATTTTTAAAACAATAGACTTAGTTTGCAAATTATGCCTTTAGGGGAAAAAAGGCAAATAATAGAGAACAGGTAGAGTTTTGAGGGCCAAGAAGGAAGTTTTCCAAAAATCCTTTTTTCCCCTGCTATCAGAAATATAAAGTTAAATTTAGCAACCAAAGTGAATGAGTAGACGAGTTTTCCATTAGTGCTGTCCCTATCTTGTCCTTGGCTTTGTTGTAGGTTTTGTCCTTATCCCCTAGAATGTATCCCCAAAATGTCCTAGTAACAAATACAGCTTTTTAAACTCCTGTTGTGGGAAAAGTATACATTAAAGTTGATAATTCTAAAACCATCCTCAATAATTTTTTAATGCAAAGTGGTTTAGCATAGAGTTAACATCTTTAGCAACGTATAGTTCACTGTTTAAAGTCTCTGTACTGTAAGGACCATATTTGAGTTCTGGTCTACTCCTCCATTGTTTCTTTGTGGGAAGCAGTTGGGGAGTTTTGGAGCTTTGGGTGACTTTTTTTTTTAAACTATTTGTAAGTTAATGTTTGGGTTCAAACAAATTAGTTGTTCAACATCTGTAATCCAGTTTTTTGTAAATGTTGCTGTTGTTCTAAGCTCTGTTAATGTTAAGCATTCTTTGTATATAAAATTACAATAAAATGTTAAAACTGGTTGCTTGTTTTGTGGATGAATGTAAAGCTAAAACCTAATGAATGGCTGATAATGAGTGCTAGATGCTGAAGATTCAAGTTTTTAGGACTCACTCCCTTAGACCCTGCTTATTATCTAGACTACCGTATGTAATACCTCAAAGATGAAGTTCATAAATCTTTGGAGAGTTGGATTTATAATTTGAATGCTCAGTGCATGTGCTTTGCACTTAATTTGAAATTTGGCACCACTACTTAGAGTCTTCTGATTTCTCATATCTGCTGCATAATATGTTCAGTGTCCTATCCCCAGCCCTACCTCTAAGTCATGTGCTTGACACTTGATGCTTAATGCTGTGACACTTGAATTATTTTACTGTTTAAAAACGTCAAGTGTTTCTCTAACTTAATCTCAGTTTTTAACTTAGAAGAGTAGTATGTAAATCTTAATGTAAGGTACAAACAGGGTCTAAGGTTTGAGTGCCCCCAGAAGGACTTTCTTCAACTCCGTAGACACCCAAACATCATGTAATGACCTAAGGAACTCCCCATGCCTCTTCTAGGTTATACTTTAATAACTGTTTTTATGCAAGATTAGATATTGCTCTTTACAGGATGAGTGGTGTTGTCTTTGGCTGTGTGGTCTTAAATGTGTTTCTAATGTGTGTGTCAAATAATTACCTGTTAAACAGACTGCCAATCTGGCTGAAGCCAATGCTTCTGAAGAAGATAAAATTAAAGCAATGATGTCGCAATCTGGCCATGAATACGACCCAATCAAGTAAGTTTATAAGTACTTTATTCCAATACGTACTTTGGGGTGGCACTTAACAGCCCCCCATGTCAAAAGCTTTTTTGTTTTTTTAAGTCTTTGTGTACATGTAAATTTTTTTTCCCCCTTTCAGTTACATGAAGAAACCTCTGGGTCCACCACCTCCGTCTTATACTTGTTTCCGTTGTGGTAAACCTGGCCATTATATTAAGAATTGCCCAACAAATGGGGTAAGTTCAAGCTAAAATTTTTCCTTAGCCATATTATTTTTCTTGGTAAATACTGACTTCTGTGTTACAGTGGCAAATGAGCACAGCTTTTGGAGCCAAACTACTGGTGTCAAATCTTGACACTGCCACTGAGTGAGCAAGTTACGTGATTTCTCCAAGCCTATTGTTTCTTCTCTGTGACGTGAAGATAGTGATAGTCCTTACCTCACATGGCTGTTGTGAGATTAAATGAAATCACATATGTAAAGCTCTACAAATAATACAAGCAGATAGTAAACACTGTGTGTTAGCTAATATTAAATAATGGTAACTGCTTTTTCTCTTCCTCCTCTCTCCTTTCTCCTACCTGTAGGATAAGAACTTTGAATCTGGTCCTAGGATTAAAAAGAGCACTGGAATTCCCAGAAGTTTTATGATGGAAGTGAAAGATCCTAACATGAAAGGTGCAATGCTTACCAACACTGGAAAATATGCCATACCAACTATAGATGCGTAAGTATTCAAATTAGGTATGATCTGTGGAGATTACAGTCAGTCCAGGCGATAGTGTTTTATTTAATCTTGGGTTTGTAACTTGGCTACTTGGATTCCTCATAAACATTGTATACCAAGTCTTAGTCTGTATGTTGCATTTCTGTGTTAAGAATGAGAGGCTGCAGTCTGCTCCATTTAAAGCAAATTAAAACTGTATTTGGGGTTTTTGTTACCAGTGAGTTCCACTTTCCTTGTGGTCTTCTAATTTTTCTTTTTTCTGTCATTCCCTGCTTTCTTCCTCATTCACATACATACTCCTACATAATCTTGTATGCAGTTTGTATCTTTTAAATGAACAAGATAAGTGTCTTAGACTTTTTAAGAAACAAGAGGCTTAAGAATAAAAGTTCTGCAAGCTATCAAGGCAGATTTAAGTGTGAAGATTAAAGGAAATACTCAAGTATCTTGACTAGTTTGGGTATACTCTGTGAGTCTTAAGATTCTAAAATATGGTTTATTTAATAAACTGTTAGTTCAGATCTGTTATATAACAGTTCAGAACTGTTTATCTGTTATAAACTGTTAGTAGCTCTGTAAGCCATACCTTAATGCTTATTTTTCACATGTTTTCAGGTTTTATTTTAGGAGTCAATTTTTAATGAAATGAATCGACAGTAAACCTAGTGGCCTAGTTCAGCTAGGTAACTTCCCATTTTATCTGCTTTTTTTTTTTAATACATTTATACCTTTTGATTACCCTCAACAGTTGCAAACTCACACAATATAAAACACAATACTAAGTGTTCCTTTGGACTATGGCTCTGTGACTTTACTGTACATAAAAAGCTCTTGGAAAAGTGTGTTAAACAGTCTAGGTGCCCTGTCCCACTCCTCTCCCCCGCCCCCGAGGGGTTATGTTCTCAGTCTGCATCTTTAACAAGTCCTCCAGGAGAATACGAGGTTAGAGGATGCTCAAGGCATGCCTTGAGAAACATCAACTTAAAGAATAGATATCCATGTTCCCAGTGACAGAATGTTTATTAAGAACAGTTTTTGTCACCTTTGTGCTGTATTATCAAAATGTGATGAGCAGGTAAGGACAACAAAAATGCTATGCTTACAGAATGATGCTGAAAAAAGATTGTTTTTGAGTAGGTAAATACATTGTTTTAGTTAACAGATAAGAATTAATATTTTTCTAAAACTCCCAACCCTGCTCACTTTCTCAACTTCACTCCCATCTATTTTTTCAGTCTACCATTGTGTGTTTTTGTGATTCATTTTAGAGCAGTTTGTTGTATGCTGTTTCTAATTCAGACGTTTCATACATGCATCCAAACAGTTTTAGGTTGAAATTGATGGCTTTTTACAGACAAAGTTTAAGAGCAGACCGCTTCATCTTAATACAATAAGATGTAAATGTAAAAGTATTTAAATAGAAATTTGTTGGAAAAATTAACATCACCTGTAAGCTCATAACTAATAATTAACTTCATTGGTATTTGAATACTGGAATACAAAAGTGCATTTGTGCCAAACACACAGCAAATACTGGGGAAAATGGGAACCCAAATATTTTAAATGAAACTTTCACCCTCTCCACTAACACCACTGATAAGCAACTCAGACTCTTCTTCTGTTTCTTTTTCTATCCTGTTCTCCTCTTTTTTTTTTTTTTTTTTTTTCTTTTCTCTCTTTTGGGCAGTGGGAGACTCCTCTTTCACAAATTGGGAACAATGGGGCATAAGCAAATTGATACTTATTTCTGGAATCGTGGTGATGTCTATGGAGCAACTGCAACACAAATAACACACCTAAGGTACCCTGCTCTGTCCAGATGAGATTCTTTCATTTTTAGCATTGGGTTGGACACACTGTTCCTGAATGAGAGAGAAAAGATTTCTCTAGGAATTCCTTTGTTTTACAAATGTGCCTGATTACAGAGAAGATGGGGATATTGGAAGAGGCGGTGATAAGTCTGAGAAGGGCTTATTTTTTTGTTTATTTTTAATATATTTAATATCCAACATTTCCACAAAATTTCTACAAAAAAAATGGACCCCCAAGTGTCTAATGAGGTGTTACTTTTAAGTTTTTTACACATTTTTCTTAATTAAGTCATTAATATTTCTTGTGTTCAGTCATGTCCAGCTCTATGCGACCCCATCGACTGTAGCCCACCAGACTCCTCTGTCCGTGGAATTTTCTAGACAGGAATGTTGGACTGGGTTGCCATTTCCTACTCTTAACTGTCTATAAATAGATTAATCTCTCATAGTATTAAGTATAAGACTACTGTTTTGAAGTCTAATTCTGTTTATTAATTATTGATGTGATTAGTGACATATTTCCTTTGAATTATCCACCTTAATTGTGTAATGTCAGTACCAATTTTAGTTTCCCGTATTGTGACATTCACACTAGTATTTTCACAGGTTTGGAGGCTGTTAGGAGGAAAAAAAAACTTTTTACAGGAAACATGGTAGGCTAGAGAACAGTGATTAGGGTGTTGTCATCACTTAAGCTCAAATCCTGTCTTTGCCATTTAAATATAACTTTGTGGTACTTGATTGTGTCACTGTGCCACTCTGACTCACAGTTCTTAGAAATACAGAATCTAAGATCCTTTTAGCCAATTTTATAGCTTTTTTTTTTTTCTGTTTGTTACACTCTCTCAGGATTTTGTTTTATATCTTTTTGTTTAGGGGAGGATGTTCATAACTGCTCCCTTATTTTGGAAAGTACTACACTTGTATAAACTAATTTGGCATCATACTAGGTTATATAAGTTCCTACTATTGTATAGTAGAATATATAAATATCTTGGAAATACTTTCCCATAACAGTGTTAAAAACACTAAGACCTTCTTTTACAGAGAAGCATATGCAATTGGGAAGAAAGAAAAACCACCTTTTTTACCAGAGGAACCATCATCATCTTCAGAAGAAGATGATCCTATCCCAGATGAGTTGTTGTGTCTCATCTGCAAAGATATTATGACTGATGCTGTTGTCATTCCCTGCTGTGGAAACAGTTACTGTGATGAATGTAAGAAATGTTGAAACTTTGAAGATATGTATTTTAGAGTGTGTGTATTTCCTTGGAAAGGCTCTTAGCAACAATATATATTTTAATAACAATATGAATTATTGATACATCAGTGAACATTTAATAACTTTTTGTTGCTTCTTTTTAAAAACAAAATCTGTCCTTTAGAATTGACCACTTTCTTTACCTTCATCAAGGTGTCTTTACTGAGGTTTTGTAAAATGTAGAATTTTTGTTTCAAATATGTTTTAAATGGTATAGAGAAATTTAAAAGTTTTGGGGGCCTTAGATATTTCCAAACTATTTTTAAAAAATAAATCCCTTTCTAGGAATGTGAAAAATAGCTTACTCTAAAGTTCCTAAGGGTGATTGAGAACTACGGTCTGTAAACATATTACCCAAACACTTTCGAGGGGGTGGCTTGTGACTTTTTTTTCCTAGTCATTTATATTAGCACTTGATTCTCTTCTGCCACTTACCTTAAGTTTTGCCCTTCTTACCCAGATGAAAATGGTGTCATCTAAAAATGTCATTGCTCAGTCCTGCTTTGGTCCTTTTCATTTCTAAAGTTTGTTTTGGGGGACTTCCTTTGTGGTCCAGTGGTTAAGACTCCATGTGTTTCCGCTAGAGCAGGGGTGTTCAGTCCCTGGCCAGGGAACTAAGATCCACTAAGATCCTGGATGCCACGTGGCGCAGCCAGAAGGAAAACAAGAAAAGAGAGCTTTGGAATACAAATCTTTGTTATGGAGCCTCTTCAGTGAAGACGAAAGTCAAGAAGAGGTTACTTAAGGCTTGTTTTCAGAGTGTGTCTTAAATTTTACAAACCACCTATATAACTGGATTTTTTTACTACACTGAAGCATAATCATTGCATCTGTAATTTGGTATTTCTTCTTACCTGCTATGCTATAGATGTTCCTGATTTCCTTGCCCAAATAATGCTTCTGCTATATATAATGCCCTTTCTTAGTGATGCCTTTTTAAATTTTGTTTGTTTATGCCACATAGCTTATAAGATCTAAACTCCCTGGCTAGGTATTTAATCCTGGCCCTTAGCAGTGCAGAGTCGTAACCACTGGACTACTGGGGTATTCCCAAGTGATTGCTTTTTTTGAAGCCCTGTATTTACAACATAATGTCTATTTCTAGGCTATATTTCTATTTTTTTCCTATAATACTCTAGATGTTAGCTAACCAAAGAGAATGGTATTTGAGAAAGAGTGTCCTTTCTCTCAATTTAAATGCTTGTTTAGCTTATATCCATTACTTCTGTGTTTAAGGTAGAGATTAGAGCAGAGGAGTGATACCAGGAGAGAAATTTTACTTTTAAATTTCTTAATCTAAGAATAAAAGTGATTAGTAATGTGTGCTTGGAAAATAGTAGTGTAACTGAACACATATAAACCATCTTCTCAATTCATTGCCAAAAACTGGGTTCCTAACTGTGCTTTTGTTAATATTTAAAATCTTATACATAGGTATAAGGACAGCGCTCTTGGAATCAGATGAACATACATGTCCAACATGTCATCAGAATGACGTCTCTCCTGATGCTTTAATTGCCAATAAGTTCTTACGACAGGTAGCTATATTTATATCCCCTTTTATGAAAAATTTTAAAAAATCTTTTAACTGTACTTGAGTAAATATTATATTCTGCATTTTTATGTTTGGTGTTTATAGGCTGTTAATAACTTCAAAAATGAAACTGGTTATACGAAAAGACTAAGAAAACAGTTACCCCCACCCCCTCCCCCAATACCACCTCCAAGACCACTCATTCAGCGGAACCTACAACCTCTGATGAGATCTCCAATATCAAGACAACAAGATCCTCTGATGATTCCAGTGACATCTTCATCAACTCACCCAGCTCCATCTATGTCTTCATTAACCTCTAATCAGTCTTCTTTGGCCCCTCCTGTCCCTGGAAATCCATCTTCTGCCTCAGCCCCCGTACCTGATATAACTGCAACAGTCTCCATATCAGTCCACTCAGAAAAATCAGATGGACCTTTTCGGTAAGTCTGTGTATCTCTCACTGTTAGGAAACAGCTGAGACCAGTGACATTTTTTTATTGTATATTGCTTGAATTGTTTTAGTGACTGGCAGTCCATAGCATCCTACTGTACTCAGTGAGGTGGGTGACTTGTAAGAAATGACTTAGTCTTTTGAAATTCCCTGGCAGTCCTGTAATTAGGACTTGGCTCTTGCATTGCTGGAGCCAGGGTTCAATCCCTTTTGGGGATCTGAGATCCTGCAAGCCACACAGCATGGCCAAATGAAAAAAAAAGAAATGACTTCGTCTTACTGGAGGAATAGAGAAATGAAGGGAGATTCATTTGTAAATGATTAAATATCCCAAAGTTAAAAACTGTACAGATTGCCAGCAGCCGTTCTTAAATGTTGAACAGTATCCCATAACAGCTTTTGCAGTTCACAGGAGGGAGAGTTCACTTACGGTCATAATGATGGTATTAAAAACCAGTAGATTTGAGTAGAACTAAGAACAGAGGAGAGGGGATGAAACACTGTTAAGAAAGATCAGAAATAATTTTTTTGGAGCGTAATTATATAGGAGAGTAGTAAAACCTCACTTAAATCCTACCGCTTCTGAAATGAAAGGGACTTATGACTATATAGTCCAGTGGCTCTATAAGTCCAAACCTTAAAAAAATGAACCAGCTTTTAAAAATTAAGATGCCAGGGGTGTGTTCCCAGAAGCAAAATTTTTAGGAGTAGGACCTTTACAAGTATACTTAAGAGATCCCTGCAAACTGCTGTGTATATAGGATGGATGAGCAACAAGGTCCTACTGTATAGCACAGGAAACTGTATTCGGTATCATGTGACAAATCATCATGAAAAAGAGTAAAATCCCACTGATCTAGTTCAAGCTTTTATTTGATTAATAGTGGGAATGGTCTACTATTCATTGACTCACCTTAGAGTACCTTTTTGATTTACTAGAGCTGGAAGTAGAATTCCAGAAAAAAATCCTTTTTTTCTCTTTTTGGTTTTGCAACTTTTTTTTTTAAGCTTGAGTAGTCTTAAAATTGCACCAATTTGTATCATTTCATAGACTGTACTTTTTAAGGAGCTTCCTTAATCATACATTTCACTTACATATGAAGAACTCTTCAAAAGTCCAATTTGGCTCATTTTCCCCAGAAGTTTTCATCATCATTGATTTAACTCATCTTAATGCAAGTGTGATGGAGAACAGTGTTAGGAACAATAGGATGTAATTTTTTTTTCTTTTAATAATTTTTATTAGTTATATGCAAAGGAAAACCTTATAATCCTATCATTACAGATAATGCATTCCTGAAGCAAAAATATTTGTGTACTGCAGACATTTTCTGCAGATCTATTATTTTTCAAACTCTGCAAGTGTTTGAGGTCTCTTAAATATGACTCAGTCTTTGTAATAATGGAATTTTTCTTCAAAAATATGGAAAGTGTTCTCATTGAAGTTTAAAGCATATAGCATGCTGATTTGACTTACATATATTATGAAATAATTACTACAGTAGGATCAGCTAACACCCATCTTCTCACCTAAATACAATAAGAAGGGGAAAATAAGAGTTCTCATCTCCTTGTGATGAGAACTGTTAGGATCTAATCTCTCTTAATAGCTTTCCAGTATACCATACAGCTGTGTTACCTACAGTCATCATGTTGTACATCACATCCTGAGTACTTACTTATCTCATAACCGGAAGTTTGTACCTTTAATTCTCCATTTCTAATGATCTTTTAATGTTGTTGTAAACTATTTTATTTTCTAGGGATTCTGATAATAAAATACTGCCAGCTGCAGCACTTGCATCAGAACATTCAAAGGGAGCTTCTTCAATTGCAATTACTGCTCTTATGGAAGAGAAGGTAAGTTTCATTGGCTTTTAAATTTGGAGACCTTTTTATATTATTACAGTAGAGCTTTTTGTTTTGTTTCTTAACTGTGTTTTTTCCTAAAGGGTTACCAGGTGCCTGTACTTGGAACCCCCTCTTTGCTTGGACAGTCATTATTGCATGGACAGTTGATCCCCACAACTGGTGAGTATAAAATCATCTTGGTTTGAACTTTTTCTCTTAAAAAATAATTCTAGCTTTATTTAACATGTAATTTTATATTTAGTTGTTGTTCTTATTTTTCTGTCCAAGGTCCAGTAAGAATAAATGCTGCTCGTCCAGGTGGTGGTCGACCAGGTTGGGAACAGTAAGTATATGTTTCACATAATCGTCAGATGATTGCTTTCAAACCAGAGGATAAAAATTACAGTCTAAGGAGTATGTTGCTGAGTGTCTTTTTTTTTTTTTTCTGAGTGTCTTTTATTATAAACTCTTTTATATGCCATAGTTTACAGTTTTTATGTAAAATGTAACAAACTCAAGACTATATGAAGAACTGTTTTCTAAAAGAATGTTTTCTAAAATAAATATAAACTCATATAAATTTAAAGCCTATCAATCACAAAATTTCTCATTTTGAGTAGCTCAATTAAATTCTATTGCATATTAAAATCTATAAGGTTTGAGAGACATGCTTTGTGAACGGTTCCTGTAATAAGTCCTTCCTCCTCTCAGAAGAAAAAGCAAAAAATTCTATAGGGTATAATTTTTTATGGCATTAAAAATCAGATTTATTTTTTATATATATAATATTTGTTTATATAGGTCATAAATTTCTATAAACTGGCTTATATTCTAAAACTTTGATCTTTTTGTTTGAAAGATAAACCAGACTCATTATAAAAAAAAGTATGTTAAGAATATATCAGTAGAAAAGGCTTCCCTGGTAGCTCAAATGGTGAAGAATCTGCCTGCAGTGTGGGAAACCCAGGTTCAATCCCTGAATTGGGACGATTCCCCTGGACAAGGGAATGACTACCCACTCCAGTATTCTTGCCAGAAGAAATTACATAGAAGATCCTGGTGGGCTACAGTCCATGAAGTCACAGGGTCAGCCATGACTAAGTGACTAACACACACACATACGAATATATCAGTATAAAGAATACGGGATTTGAAGACAGATCTCGGTTTGAATCCCAGCTCCTCCACTTACTAGCTGTATGACAGTGGGGGTGTGATTGTACTTTTCAGCCTCCATTGCCTCATCTGTAGAACTGGAAATGTGCTACTTACCTCCACATAGTTCCCAGCAGATAAAAGGACCTTTTCCTTTTCTGTAACAATTAAGTTCAAGGCTTCCCTGGTGGCTTCATTGGTGAAGAACCCACCTGCCAACACAGGGTTTTGATGCCTGGTCCGGGGACATCCCACATGCCTAGGACCAGCCAAGCCCATACACCCCAACTGTTGAGCCTGTGCTCTCTCGAGCCCAGGAACTGAAACTGTTGAGCCCAGGGTCTGCAACTACTGAAGCGAGGGGGCCCTAGAGTCCATGCTGTGCAACAAGAGAAGCCAGTCCAGTGAAAAGCCTGCACACTGCAGCAAAGAGTAGCCCCTGCTCACCACAAGTAGAGAAGAGCCCGAGCAGCAATCCAGCACAGCCAAGAAATAAACACATAACTTTTTTTAAGTACATGGGATCTTTAGAAAAAAACACACAGAAATTTCACAGGGTAACTTATAGAATGCTAATTAAAATATACTACATGAAGTTTATATTGAGGCTTCATTGTTTATAATATGTTAATCAGAAAAAATATTCAAGTACATGTAATGTTTGCTCATATCTGTCTATCTGGAACAAGCAAGAATCAGGGTCAGGGAGTAAGGAAAAGTTTCCAGAATAGTTAAAAAATAGGTATCTTAAAGTCTGTGCACAAAAAGATCATGTATTAATTATACTCAAGCCTATTTTATCTTTCCACACAGTTCCAACAAACTTGGATACTTGGTTTCTCCACCACAGCAAATTAGAAGAGGAGAGAGGAGTTGCTACAGGTAGGCTTGCTAAAAATCTTGAATAACAGTAATCTGATGACACAGTGAAAAATATAACAAAACTTAAAGCGTAGCAGTGGCAAGGGGAGTGAGTTCATTTGCTTTGCAGGTACCTCACTTAAATCCAGTTATGCTTGAGAGGCCTATGAAAGAATAGGTTACATTTAGTATTTTAACTGTTGGTTTTTTAAGGCTACATCTTTGCTACTCCTTCTTAAGGGTTACTTTCTCCTTGTCAGCACATAGCAGAATATTGGCTTATCTCCGTTGAGTGTAGAGGGAAGTCAGTAAAGCCTCTGCAATGTGTAAGGTGTTGGCATTGACTTAAAGTGAATGTTAACCAGTTCGACTCCTAAGTGTGAAGAATTGCACATTTTTCTCCCCTAGACTCAGTTGTCCCAGTCTTCTGCCATCTTTTCTTCCAAAAGAAGAGACAGGAGATTGTTAGGGACCCTTGCTCTGGAGATACACAAGCAGTGTCAATCTCAGAAGTAACCCGTATAAGTTTTACTCTCTAGGTCATTCTTAAGGTCATCTTCTAGTACACCAAAGAGAATTGCTAAGCTTATGAAAGATAACTGCTGTTTTGTTGCTAAATCACATATTTAATAGGATATTTACTAAACCAGACTCTCTGAAAAGAGGCTTAAAATCTAGACCCCTACTGCTGCTGTTGTATACCAGTTACCTATAATTTAAAGATTCTTTTAAAAAGCTTAACAGAAATAAGCCCACTTTCTCTTTTAAGCCACTATTTCTTTGATGAGGCAGAATTTTAGACTTATTTTAACTGTGTCAGAAAAAAACAGATTTTCAGTTACTGATTACAAATGTTAAACTAATATTTGTTCTAGTTTGAAGGGTCTTTACATATTTACTCAAAAAGATTATAGGAAGTGGTTTTTCTTCATTTAAACTTGATCTTGGAAGGCATTTTGGGGAGAACCAGATCACAGAGACTTTAACCTATCAGCTCCTTTTAATGATGGATTAGGAAGTAACGAGATGGTTGTGAAGTGATAATTGGAACTTCACAAGAGAACTTTTAAATATAGTGTCTCCATATAAAGAAGGCCTTGTAAACTTACATCCTCTTAGTCCCTAACTGGCCTGAAAAGTTGTTTTTAACATATGAATGATGTTACCTTTACATACAATTTATATCAGTATCCTGATGCTTATTTAAATAGTTTTGGGGTAGAAAAGATAAGCTTACTTGTCTCAGATGCCTTAATATCTTGGAATTATTTTTCCAGAAGTATAAACCGCGGACGACATCACAGCGAAAGATCGCAGAGGACTCAAGGCCCGTCACTACCAGCAACCCCCGTTTTTGTACCTGTCCCACCCCCGCCCTTGTATCCTCCCCCCCCACACACACTTCCTCTCGCTCCAGGTGTTCCTCCTCCGCAGTTCTCTCCTCAGTTTCCTCCTGGCCAGCCACCACCTGCTGGATATAGTGTTCCCCCTCCAGGATTTCCTCCAGCTCCAGCCAATTTATCAGCACCTTGGGTGTCATCTGGAGTACAGACTGCTCATTCTAATACCATCCCAACAACACAAGCACCACCTTTGTCCAGGGAAGAATTCTATAGAGAGCAACGACGGCTAAAAGAAGAGTAAGTGTTCTAATTTGAAATTACTCTACACTTTCATTTTCTGATGTAACATTAAGCAGGTATCTTTGGAAGCATTTTCCAGTGTTTCCAGTTAGTGTAAGAAAAATCACCTAAAAATTAAACCAAGTCATACGAGCAACTTCCTCAGGGATTCCTAGTTATTTATAGTTTTAAAGTGGAAAACTAATGGCAATTTCATTCATTTCATTCATAATCTAATTACATTTGTCTTGTTAGTTTTCTTAAATGGTTTTTGTTAACTTTCACTCTTTAACTTTATTTTACTAGGGAAAAGAAAAAGTCCAAGCTAGATGAGTTTACAAATGATTTTGCTAAGGAATTGATGGAATACAAAAAGATTCAAAAGGAGCGTAGGCGCTCATTTTCCAGGTTAGTGTTTTGCAAGCCTTCACAACAGAATTGCAAATGGGACTTTGAATATCCAGGGATTAGCTATGGATATAAATAACATCACAGTTATGGAATTTTTCTGATTCGGTCTAGGTTTATAGAAATGGAAATGTAGCTTATTTCCCAGTATCTGTTTATTGAAATAGTATCTCACTGTAAACTCTATTGTGTAGAACTAGCAGTTATGGGGATTAAATTACCCTTGTCCCTTGAAGTTATTTATAGTATGAAAAAATTGGGAAATGTTTATAGAAGGAAAGAAATAGGGGAATAGCCAAAGAATACATTTCTGAGGACCCTCTTACTTAAGGCTACAGCTTTCTGCTGGAACATTAACCTGTGTAATTATGAAATAACATTAGACTACAAATTGCTTTATTGATAGAAAAACTAAATTATAAAAATTCCGTAGAAGCTTGTTTAGAAGACTTCTTTTTTAAGCTTATGCTCGAAATATGGTTCCTTTTAAAGATAAGACTGTTGGCCAATAAAGGACAAAAAGAAAAAAAATCACTGCTACTTAAAATAATCAGATAGGAAGTAAAAATTTAATTGGCATTTTCTTTAGTGTTGATTAGCTCATATAATTCACGGTACATTAATGCACGTCACTCTAATTATTAAGACTTCACTTTTGTTTTGCAACAAGTGATTGCTCTGATCTTTGTGTACTTTATTCCATTTCAATAGAGGTCACTGTGCCTCTTTAATCATCTAAGATGAAACTTGATACAAAGAAATATGGAACCATGAGGAGAACATACTTGAATGCAAGCGTCTGTATTTTATTTAGCATATATTTCTCAACTATCAATTATTTTGTTTTTTGTTTTTGTTTTAGGTCCAAGTCTCCCTATAGTGGTTCATCCTATTCAAGAAGTTCGTACACTTATTCTAAATCAAGATCTGGTTCAACGCGGTCACGTTCTTATTCTCGATCATTTAGCCGCTCACATTCTCGTTCTTATTCACGATCGCCTCCATACCCCAGAAGAGGCAGAGGAAAGAGTCGAAATTACCGTTCACGGTCTAGATCACATGGGTATCATCGATCTAGGTCAAGGTCACCTCCATATAGACGGTATCATTCACGATCAAGATCTCCTCAAGCATTTAGGGGACAGTCTCCTAATAAACGTAATGTACCTCAAGGAGAAACAGAGCGTGAATATTTTAACAGATTCAGAGAAGTTCCACCACCTTATGACATGAAAGCTTATTACGGGAGGAGTGTTGACTTTAGAGACCCATTTGAGAAAGAACGTTATCGGGAATGGGAGAGAAAATATCGAGAGTGGTATGAAAAATATTACAAAGGCTATGCCACTGGAGCACAGCCTAGACCATCAGCAAATAGAGAGAACTTTTCTCCAGAGAGATTTTTACCGCTTAACCTTAGGAATTCTCCCTTCACAAGAGGCCGCAGAGAGGACTACTCTGGTGGACAGAGTCATAGAAGTCGAAATGTAGGTGGCAACTATCCAGAAAAGCTTTCATCAAGAGACAGTCACAATCAGAAGGATAATACAAAGTCAAAAGACAAGGAAGGTGAAAATGCTCCAGGAGATGGTAAAGGAAATAAACATAAGAAACATAGAAAAAGAAGAAAGGGGGAAGAAAGTGAAGGCTTTCTAAACCCAGAGTTACTAGACACTTCTAGGAAATCAAGAGAGCCTACAAGTGGTGAAGAAAATAAAACAGACTCATTGTTTGTTCTCCCAAGTAGAGATGATGCTACACCTGTTAGAGATGAACCAATGGATGCTGAATCTATTACTTTTAAATCAGTGTCTGAAAAAGACAAGAGAGAAAAGGATAAACCTAAAGCAAAAGGTGACAAGACCAAACGGAAAAATGATGGATCTACTGTATCCAAAAAAGAAACTGTTGTAAAACCTGCTAAAGGACCCCAAGAAAAACTAGATGGAGAGCGTGAAAAATCTCCTCGATCTGAACCTCCACTTAAAAAAGCCAAAGAGGAGACCCCGAAGACTGACAATGTGAAATCATCATCTTCCTCTCAAAAAGATGAAAAGACGGTTGGTACCCCCAGAAAAGCTCACTCAAAGTCAGTAAAGGAACACCAGGAGACAAAACCAGTCAAAGAAGAAAAAGTGAAGAAGGACTACTCCAAAGACATCAAGTCAGAGAAGATAACTAGTAAGGAAGAAAAAACCAGGAAGCCTAATGACAAAAGTAAGCCACTTGATAGCAAAGGAGAAAAAAGGAAGAGAAAAACTGAAGAAAAAAGTGTAGATAAAGATTTTGAGTCATCTTCAATGAAAGTCTCTAAATTAGAAGTGACTGAAATAGTGAAACCATCACCCAAGCGCAAAATGGAGCTTGATATTGAAAAGTTGGATAGGACACCTGAAAAAGACAAAACTTCATCATCAGCTGCTCCAGCCAAAAAAATCAAGCTTAACAGAGAAACTGGTAAAAAAATTGGAAGTACAGAAAATGTATCTAACACAAAAGAACCCTCTGAAAAATTGGAATCAACATCCAGCAAAGTGAAACAAGAAAAAATCAAAGGAAAGGTCAGACGAAAAGTAACTGGAACAGAAGGATCCAGCTCAACGCTTGTGGATTATACCAGGTATCTGAAAATTGGGGGGCGGGGGTGGGGGGATTGCATTGTGGATTATACCAGGTAGCTGATAATGGCAGGGGTGAGAAAAGGAGAATATGTTCCTTAAGAATGTATTGATGTTGGGGGTTAGCTGGTTACTCTTGTCTTTGAAGATAACAATTGTTAAAAGATAACAGATGTTAAGTAGATTTTGGCAGTGAGCCACACTTATTTTTATGTAATCATACACACGTATCTTAGAGCAGAGTAAGTGGGGTTTTGAAACTTGAAAGGGCATTTATCATATTTAAGTCCTTTTATACTCATCAGTGTTTAACAGTTACGAGTTCTTCATTGAATAAAAAATATTTTAATTCTTTTTAGTACCAGTTCAACTGGAGGCAGTCCTGTGCGGAAATCTGAAGAAAAAACAGATACAAAGCGAACTGTCATTAAAACAATGGAAGAATATAATAATGATAACACAGCTCCTGCTGAAGATGTTATTATTATGATCCAGGTTCCCCAATCCAAATGGGATAAAGATGACTTTGAATCTGAAGAAGAAGATATTAAATCCACCTCACAGCCTGTATCGAGTGTGGGAAAACCTGCCAGTGTTATAAAAAATGTTAGCACTAAACCACCAAATGCAGTCAAGTATGCTGAAAAAGAAAGTGAGTCATCAGAGAAAATTCAGAAACTCACCAAGGAGGTGAGCCATGAAATTGCACAGCATGAGGTTAAAAGTTCAAAAAACTCTGCATCTAGTGAAAAAGGGAAAACCAAAGATCGAGATCACTCAGTATTGGAAAAGGAAAACCCAGAAAAGAGGAAGAACAACAGCACTCAGCCAGAGAAAGATGGTAATCTGGACCGTCTGAATGAGCAAGGAAATTTTAAAAGTCTGTCTCAGTCTTCCAAAGAGACTAGAACTTCTGGAAAAGAAGATAAACATGATTCCATTCGAGGTTCCTCAAATAAAGACTTCACTCCCAACAGAGACAAAAAAACAGATTATGACAACAGAGAGTATTCAAGTTCCAAACGTAGAGATGAAAGGAATGAATTAACAAGAAGAAAAGACTCTCCTTCTCGGAGTAAAGACTCTGCATCTGGACAAAAAGCTAAGCCAAGGGAGGAGAGAGATTTGCCTAAAAAAGGAACAGGAGAGTCCAAAAAAAGTAATTCCAGTCCCACGAGAGACAAAAAACCTCATGACCATAAAGCCACTTATGATACTAAACGCTTAAGTGAAGAGACAAAATCTGTAGATAAAAATTCTTGTAAAGATCGTGAGAAACATATGTTAGAGGCAAAGAACAATAAAGAGTCAAGTGGCAATAAATCACTTTATATACTTAACCCACCTGACCCACAGATTGAGAAAGAGCAAGTTACTGGGCAAATTGATAAGAACACCATCAAACCTAAGCCCCAGTTAAGTCACTCCTCTCGACTGTCCTCTGACTTAACTAGAGAAACTGATGAAGCTGCTTTTGAACCAGACTATAATGAAAGTGACAGTGAAAGCAATGTGTCTATAAAAGAGGAGGAAACTGCAGGAAAGGTTTCTAAGGAACTGAAAGATAAAGTAGTAGAGAAAGCAAAGGAGAGCCTGGACACGGCAGCAGTCAGCCAGGCAGGCGTCGCCAGGAGCCAGAGTCAGAGCAGCCCGAGTGTCAGTCCGAGCAGAAGTCACAGCCCTTCTGGAAGCCAAACCCGGAGCCACAGCAGCAGTGCCAGCTCTGCAGAAAGTCAGGACAGCAAGAAGAAGAAGAAAAAGAAGGAAAAGAAAAAGCACAAGAAACATAAAAAACATAAGAAGCATAAGAAGCATGCAGGCACTGAAGCAGAATTGGAAAAAAGCCAAAAACACAAACATAAGAAAAAGAAGTCAAAGAAGAGCAAAGATAAAGAAAAGGAGAAGGAGAAGGATGACCAAAAAGTGAAATCTGTCACTGTGTAGAAGGGCAGATTTTTAAAAACTGACTTAATTCCTAAGTCATCTGTATTAAATTTTGTTATAATGTAAAGAGATTCAAGCCTGTAAATAATGATACAGAAGACCCTGTGCTGCACTTAAAATATTGCTGCTTGATTATTTGATTTTTACATCAGAGCTTTATAACACGGACTTTTGTACAGAATTGTGAGTTGTGACCATGTAACATGAGAGGTTTTGCTAGGGCCTATTATTTTTAACCACCATTAATTAGTTGGGGTGGAGTTTACTGTACTGTGAAATTTTCACATTTGAATTTTTTTAATTGCCTGGCAAAAGCTGATATCAGTTCTAAAATATCAGCAGAATGATTTGCTGAACTCATTACAACCCTGTTATGTCACTTTTTGATTACAATAAAAGTTTTCAGTAAACTTTTCAAATGTTGAATGTTTACCTTATTTGAAGGAAAGTGTGTCATGACCTTTCACTTCCCCCTTCCATTTCCCTATTTAAAGTATCCTTTGAGTCTTTAGTATAAACTGAAGGGTATGTATAAATTCTGAAGTAAACATGGAAAATGTACTTCATTTGTGGGCTGATAATAGGTGGCCAGAAATAAGGAATCATGGTTAATTTGATTCCTGGTTGAATAAATCTAGAAGGGTCGTAAATAAAGTTCTCAATCACACTTACCATACAGTGGCCTACCCAATCTGTGTCCAGCAACAAGCAGTAATAGGTCCAGAAGCACTAGGTAGAGACAATGGGTTTCCTTAATGGCTCTGGTTCAGGAAGCTTATTGTAGGCAATAAAAAGCTATTGAAAGGATGTGGGAGCTAGCGTAAGAATGGAACTTTAGAAACAGCTGTGTAAATAGAGATTGAGAAGACAGTGGCTAAAAGGAGGTAAAGAGACTAGTTCTAGTGTGAGGTAAAGATCCTGAAATACTTGGGTCCAGGGCACCGGACTGGCTGTGAGAGAGGAACGGGGTTACATTAGCAGCAACTCAGTTCATTTCCTTGATATTGTTTCAACAGTGTGCCGTGTTTACAGACCTGTATGCCGTTGCTGGTGCTGAAGCAATGTTGTGTTAGGTGGTACACAGACATACATGAGAATGTTTTCTAATGCAACATTTAATATGTAAGGGGAAACATTAAAGGATTTAAAGAATGTAAAGGTAATAAAAATGCTGTTCACATCAGGAAAGCCATTCAGGACTGAGTTAAGTTTGGGAAATGTTGCCTTTAAATGAAACCAACTTGACTTTAAAGAGCTCTTCTTTTGCTGTTCTTAAGTCTTTTTTAAGATTTCCAGACATCTCCATCACGGGGGAGTTCCACCCACTGCTAGCCTCACCCCTTTCCAATCTCACAACGTGTTCCACTTGTGCTTTCAGATATTCCAGCAAGACCACACTCAGTTCTTAATAATCTCGGCCCCACATCGAGGCTGTATCTCCCACATTCACTGAGGATTTTGGCATCTAGAACTCACTTTTACCATACGTTTTATTATGTGAGGTTAGTTTCATTACCTGGGTGCATTGTTAAGAATTCACTTTGAGCTCAGCTGGCCTTCACTTTAATTGCAGTCCACTCTTATGACAATTTACTTGAGTTAATCACCACCTGTCACCATTCCCATCTTAAAATTGCAACTTGAGTGTGTCATCTACAACCCACTTTTTCAGCTCCTTTCCCTATTGGCCTTATTTAGACCCGAGGTTTCAACTCATCCCTTAGTCACTCTTACTGTCTTCTATAGCTGCTTGTATCACATTTCAGCCACATGCTAACACTCCCAAAACCTGCTCACCCTTAACCATCTTATCTAAATGGCTCAGTCCCCAAAACTAGATACAGGTGCTGATAGCTGCTGCTTAACAATTAAAAGGCTTTAGAGAGAATTGAAATAACTGCCAGGCACTGTGCTAGGTGCAGTCCTTACTTGACCCTTGAGAATTCTAATGGCTCATGTTTAGTGCTTCTTTGAGCAGGAAACCACTACCTGTGAGGTTCAGCCCAACCTGGAATACTTAGCTAGTGCCTAACTAGTCCACCTAAATAACCCCTGCCATTTGGAGTTGGACATGTGAAAGCCACCTATCTTTGCTGGTTTCCAGAAAGGTCATGTTCTATCTACTCAATTGACTGCTCTGGCTGGAATTTCCTTCCTCCTACCTATCTCACAAGTTACTACCCATTGTTTGAGAGTTAGCTTGGTTGTTTTGAGTTCTCAGGGTTGCTTGTCTACCTCAAAATAACACCCTCAGGACACAATTGCATCACTGAATATGCTATAGTATTAATAACTCTCCAAAGTGGTTACTCTGAACTGTCCGGTCTCCACTGCGTCGTGGAAGCCAGCAATATGTCAGCTTTTTTAAAGACAGGAATCTAACTTTTGAGCTCCTATAGATCTGGGAGACAGTGCCCTTCCAATGTCCTTCCAAAACCTTAAGTGTCGAAAAATAACTCCTTTGCTAGTCTCAGCATGCCAAATGAAGAAAGCTAATCCCCTCCAAGATGTTTAAGGCAGGGATTCAGAGAAGGTAGGCAACTAGTTCTAATGGTTTATTCTGATTTGTGCAAGTGTCTCCATCTATGTCTTGTCCACTTTTTCCTGTCTTTAATTCTTTCAGTGAGCTCTTCTTACTGTACAAAACTATACAGAATAGAACCTCTGATTTGGAACTTTCATCCAAGTCCTTTTACAGTACTGCCATCAATCCAGCTTCAGTGGGTTTCTTAGCAACAATGAAAACCTCACTAGCACACATACAGTGTACCCTGTTTGTCCTTATATACCATGTGCTTAAGTCGCCCAGTCGTGTCCGGCTCTGTGACCCCATGGACTGTAACCCACCAGGCTCCTCTGTCCTTGGGATTTTACAGACAAGAATACTGGAGTGGGTTGCCATTTCCTCCTCCAGGGGATCTTCCTGACCCAGGATTCAAACCTGCATCTCCTGTGTCTCCTGCATTGCAGGTGGATTCTTTACCTGCTGAGTCATCGAAGAATCACATCCTTTTGACTAGCATTTTTCATTTTTAAGAAGTAAGAATGATTTTGAAATAAGAGAACTGAATAAACCATATAAATCCTTGATACAGGATAATGTGGAGCTGCTATAAGTGAATAACAGGCATACAACGTGAAAGACATGGGGTTAACAGGAACATTCAGAGACTTCATGTGTGGACTTCCCTGGTGGTCCAGTGGTTAAGAATCCACCTGTCAGTGCAGGGAACCTGGGTTGGATCCCTGGTCAAGGAAGATCTCACATGCTTTGGAACAGTTAAGCCCTCTGGCCACAACCATTGAGCCCACATGCTGCAACTACTGAAATCCATGCTCCACAACAAGAGAATTCCACAATGAGAAGCACAAGCCCGGCAATGAAGAGTAGCCCCTGCTTGCCACGTGCGGCAACAAAGGCCAAGTGCAACCAAAACTAATGATTTCATGTGAATTTTTTCAGTAACTTCAAGTATAAACAGTTCACCAAGACTTTCTTTGAGATTATGTCATGTTAAAAGGATTTAAAAATAGTTATTGATAATTTCATTATGCACTTGGGTGAACAGTGATTTTTTTTAAACCAACACCAACATGAATCTTTCCCACTCTGCAATGTAGCTATTTAGTAATTTGCTAGGAAGTTGGCTTGGCCAGTATGAATCGTTCTCAATTTAGTTTTTTTTCTTTTTCCATTTGTTTTTATTAGTTGGAGGCTAATTACTTTACATCATTGCAGTAGTTTTTGTCATACATTGAAATGAATTAGCCATGGATTTACATGTATTCCCCATCCCGGTCCCCCCTCCCACCTCCCTCTCATTTTTAAAGTTTCTAGTGGGACAGCAGCCAAAATGGCTATCATCAAAAAATGCACAATAAATGCTAGAGAGGGTATGGAGAGAAGGGAACCCTCCCACACTGTTGGTGGGAATGTAAATTGGTACAGCCACTATGGAGAACAGTATGGAGGTTCCTTAAAAACTAAGAATAGAGCTGCCATATGACCTTGGCAATCCTGTGCGTGCATCTGGAGAAAAACATCTGAAAGGACTCATGCACCCCCAATGTTCATTGCAGCACTGTTTACAATAGCCAGAACATGGACGCAACCTAAATGCCCATCCATAGAGGAACGGATAAAGGAGATGTGGTACACAATGGAATATTACTCAGCCATTAAAAAGAATGAAATAATGCCATCTGCAGCAACATGGATGGACCTAAAGAATATCATAGTGAATTTAAATCAGACAGAGAAAGAGAGATGTAGTACGACATCCCTTATATGTGGAATCTTAAATGATACAGATGAACTTGACAGAAACAGACTCAGAGAATGAACTTATGGTTGCCTTGGGGTGGGGGGAGGGGAAGGATGTGGGGAATGGATAGTTAGGGAGTTTGGGATGGACATGTACACACTGCTATATTTAAAATGGATAGTCAACAAGGACCTACTTACAGCACATGGAACTCTGCTCAGTATTATGTGGCAGCCTGGATGGGAGGGGAGTTTGGGGGAGAATGGATACATGTATATGTATGGATGAGTCCCTTGGCTATTCACTTGAAACTATCACAACATTGTTAATCGGCTATACTCCAATACAAAATAAAAAGTTTAGAAAACAATTGAGTTGCAAGCTAAGAGAAAAAAACTTTTAGTGGTAAAAGATACTGATACAAGGACTTTCCTGTTGGTCCAGTGATTAGCAATCTGCCCACCAATGTGAAGACACAGGTTTGATCACTGGTCTAGGGAGATTCCACATACAGAGCAACTAAGCCTCTGAGCCACAACTACTGAACCCATACTCTAGAGCCCAGAAGCTGCAGCTAATGAAGCCCAAGCACCCTAGAGTCAGTCCTCTGCAATAAAAGAAGTAGCTTCAGTGAGAAGCCCTCGCATTGCAACTAGAGGGTAGCCCCCACTCACCACAACTGGAGAAAAACCACATGCAGAAACGAAGACCCAGCACAGTCAAAATAAAAACAAATTTTAAGATATGGAAACAGTGTCAGACTTTATTTTGGGGGACTCCAAAATCACTGCAGATGGTGATTGCAGCCATGAAATTAAAAGACGCTTACTCCTTGGAAGGAAAGTTATGACCAACCTAGATAGCATGTTGAAAAGCAGAGATATTACTTTGCCAACAAAGGTCCATCTAGTCAAGGCTAGGTTTTTCCAGTGGTCGTGTATGGATGTGAGAGTTGGACTGTGAAGAAAGCTGAGCACCAAAGAATTGATGCTTTTGAACTGTGGTGTTGGAGAAGACTCTTGAGAGTCCCTTGGACTGCAAGGAGATCCAACCAGTCCATCCTAAAGGAGATCAGTCCTGGGTATTTATTGGAAGGACTGATGCTGAAGCTGAAACTCCAATACTTTGGCCACCTCATGCGAAGAGTTGACTCA